TCGACTGAGCTGCGACATGGTATAAGAATTGCAACCAGAAATTCTACTGAATTTACTTGGATCCTGCAGCCTCTCCGAGACTCTAACCAGGATTTTACACAATTCCCCCATGCACTCGAGCTATGTTAATAGGCCGTTCTACCTCTTCGCCCTTACTTCATTACACACTTTCTGTGTTCTCAGAGCTCACAGATTTTGCTGATTAAGCTTTTACTAAAATTAATATCCTTATAGAGTATTCTTATAATCGCTCTGATATCGTCTTTATAATTCGCCTAATTTCTCACCGACATTTCACTAGAAGGCAATTACAGAATTCTAAGATTTTGACAAGTTAACCATTTAAATAAAGACAGTATTCAAACCGTACGAAATACAAAATGAATTCCTCGCGGTCTGTTTAGGAGGAAGAGAGGCGGGAAGCCGGTGATGTATTGAGAAAGACTACACAGTGCGGTGTTGCACTGGGAATTGCAACAGACTGCCTGTGCTATCTTTTTTCGGTTTTGAAAACCATATTATGAAAAGTGATTGACATAGTGGTATTACCTGGAGTGGTTTTGGGAGTTCCTCTAACCCCCCCAAACCAAACCAGGGGCCGGGCTTTTCTTGCGATTACTTGATCCAGAAGGCTGTTGCTTGGAGCGGCTCACAGGCCCACAAATATCCACTGCAACCCGGATGGTCCAACATTTCCTGCAGGTTCTTCACTGGGTCTAGTCTGCATTTCCTACCATATCTTTCGCTCCAGTATGTTGCTAATTTCGCTGTGTATATTAGGGTACTTGGCTTTTTAGTGTTGTCCTGTATGTTGAATATGATACCTCTTTTTCGTCTCCTTGCTAGAAAGTGCTTAGAGCCTTGATAGTACTTAGAAAGTGATAAGAGCTTAGAGACGATCCCAACAGCTTAGGTGCTTAATCGTATTTATATGTACCGTACATGTTCTCTGTATTCCCTCTATTTGAGCAATCTCTCCTGCTCTGAAGGTGGAAGTGCGTATCGAGCAGTACTCAAGGCGGGACAGCACAAGTGATTTGAAGAGTAAAAAAAAAAATATTGAATCCCTAAATTTGAAGGTTCTCATAATCCCCGCTATCATTTGCCCGGTTGGTGACTTACTTGATTTCTTATACTCTTTAACCGTCGTTAGGTCGTCTGACATCATTATTCCCCTGATACTTTACACGTTTTTATTCAATGAGGAGATTTCATTGTTTTTTTACCATGCATTTCGCTCCCGTTCTTTAATTTTACAATACATAAGTAAAGTTGTTAAAATTCGTGTTACTTTCTACTGCCCAATGGTTGACTTTATTAACATTCGCTTGTAGTTTTTCTGTATTCCGCAAAATAAATTTTCATGCTGATTTTTGTGTTTCCAAAGTATGATACGAAGCTGTCTTGTATTTTGGCCTGTATCAGATAGGAGAATGAGATACAGCAGTGGTGCAATGACTGTACCCTCGTGTATAGGGATTTTCACTGTGCCCAGACTTGATCTTGTTTACTTGACTGTTACTCTTTGCAATCTGTTAGGCAGAAATTCAATATTCATCGCCATGCATTACTTTTTTTTTGCTAACGACCTTCATTTTTTGTATTATTATTATTTAGGGGGGGGGAGTCACATTTATGAAATGGCCCATTACAAAGTGCGTGTTCACAACATCTGCATTTAGTTTTTCTACTCATGGTTTCTTGATTTTGTCACAGTGATCGAGTAATTACGGGAGACTGGATCTTCTCGCTCTAAATCCATGTTGAGGTGGACTGTGAAGTTCATTGTTCTCCACAAAACTAGAGATATGGCTCCTAATCAACTCTTTTAAAAACTTAACTGTGTGTAATGATAATGCGAGTGGTCTATATAGTTTATTTTTTGGTTTTCTCCTCTTGTGGAGTGGAGCAATATCTCCTGCTTTGAATGATCAGGATATCTACCCTGTATCCATTCCTTCCCCCAATCATTATCCTGATCCCTTCCAAGTGCTATATAGTCGTAATGGCTTGGCGATTCTCCCTGATAAATCCCTTCCATTACCTTGCATCCAGACATACAACATACTCCATATTACACTGAGCGCTTTTGGTAGTGGAACTTTGCATTTCTATATAAAAATAGAGTTCCAGGAGTCGGAACGCGGGGCTGGATGCACAGGCATGTTGCAATTCATCTTTCAAAGTCTGGAATGTTCGTGCTAATACCAGTTTTAGTATAATACTAATAATTGTAACCCGTCCTTCTAATAGAACGTCGCATTTTGACGTATACTCTACCGAAGGCAAAAAAATCGTCGTACTAGAAAATGGCAGCGACTTGTGAAATTTACATACTGTCCCGTTTTCTGTTTTGGGTAACCCGCTCTCGCACAAGACAGCACATATATGACTTATTGCTTATGGTAGGTTAGGATAAGGGCACTCTAGCACGACAGTTTCTTGACGTAGGGAAAAAACTTAGGAAGACGGGCTGTATATATATTGTCCAATTTTTGGGTATATTTCTTACACAAAACAAATATTCCTGGATCTTCGACTCTAACGGTGCATCTTTATTTGAACAGAAATGTTCGTCTGGCTTGGAGCAACAGACGCAAATTCCGAGGAGTGGCGTTGGTTTGACGGCCGGCTCGTCGCTGCGGACTTGTGGGTGCGAAAACCCGATGGGAATGAACCCAGCGAAAAGAACAGATTTGGGGAGGCTGAAGACTGCTGCGAGATGTGGGCAGACTTTCATCCTCCTCTTAACGACGCGGTGTGCAACACGCCAAAGATATTTGCGTGTCAGTTTAATCAAATGTAATAATTGGTTGCTCTCATTTGTGTTATAGAGTGTCAATATTTCATTCAAAATGATCTGCTACCAGAAATTTTAGCCAAATATCCCCAGTTTGCTAACTGTAGGTAGTAACTAAGTGATTGTAACCTATCCACCGCTGCCCACTGGATGGGGGCGGTGTGCAGGACAAACATATCAATTTTGACACTAGCTCTCCACATATGTCAGTTGCTTAATTTAGAACCTGTACTTGAGGTCGATCTCGAACCCATTGTTAATGTGATGACTTATATTGAATTTTGTAACTAGCTCATCAAGATTGTAACTTGCTTAGCTAAGTGAATTGTGGGGTTCAGTCCCTGAACCCATTATGTGCCTCTGTAACCCTTTCCACTACCGCCCACAAGATGGATATGGAGTGCATAATAAATGAACTAAACTAAACTCTCATTTGTGTGACTGCTTCTGTCATTTTCTTTGTAATCCCAAACTTGGTTTAAAAAAAAAAATTCTGATTTTAATATTTTTAGTTTGTTTCCAATCAATGTTATGTTTAGAGTAAGACAGTAACAACGTAGAGCCCTTTATTTGGACGTCTACGATTGTGCCGGGACTAGTAAAATCACGAAAAATAAACACGTGATTAAAAATGTGACAGTGTCAGACCACGGAGGAAAATTGAAACAGGAATTTCCTTAAGTACTTTCGTATATTAATACATCTTCAGAAGGAGTGATTTTACAGGTCAAGTATTAGACATAAATATGCAGGAGAGAATGGTGGAGTGAGGTGAGGTACAATAACGAATGAATGGGAATTAGGTGGACACAAATATGAGCCGCACAAGAAATGCTGAAGGCCTATTGGCCCATACGATGCAGCTCCTATCCATACCCACCAACAGGCCCACACATGGAATATAAGAGCATAAGATAGTAAATGTTTACAATGAATTAGTGAGACAAATGTGTTCCAATGATCCTACTCAAGTCGCTCTTTAATTGATCTATCAAAAATGGATCTAAGTTATATAAACCACTGCTAATGTTCAAATTACTTTCTTTTGTAATCTGTATCAAAACAAATTCAATTATGTTTCTGTTATAAGTGCTTTGAATCTTAATTGAATAAAAATGAATAATTGAATTTGCTTTGATACAGATTACAAATGAAAGTAAATTGAACATTAGCAGTGGTTTATATAACTTAGATCCATTTTTGATAGATCAATTAAAGAGCGACTTGAGTAGGATCATTGGAACACATTTGTCTCACTAATTCATTGTAAACATTTACTATCTTATGCTCTTATATTCCATGTGTGGGCCTGTTGGTGGGTATGGATAGGAGCTGCATCGTATGGGCCAATAGGCCTTCAGCATTTCTTGTGCGGCTCATATTTGTGTCCACCTAATTCCCATTCATTCGTTATTGTACCTCACCTCACTCCACCATTCTCTCCTGCATATTTATGTCTAATACTTGACCTGTAAAATCACTCCTTCTGAAGATGTATTAATATACGAAAGTACTTAAGGAAATTCCGGTTTCAATTTTCCTCCGTGGTCTGACACTGTCATATTTTTAATCACGTGTTTATTTTCGTGATTTACACACACACACACACACACACACACACACACACACACACACACACACACACACACACACACACACACACACACACACACATACACACACACGTATCATGTATCTCAAAATAAAATCCATGGTTTCAAAAATTATTGTATATATTATTTGTAAATTCTCTAATATCAGTAAAATATAGTGACTATCAAATCCATCTATTTTGGCTAAATTCCCACCCGGGTTTTCCTAATGCATAAGTAACACCACAACAGTTTGATTAACCCCATTAAAATAAATGAGACAATAACACATGCCAGAGTGTGACATCTTTCCCACTGTGCTTCGTCAACACCCGCAAGTGTTGCCTCGTTGCTGGAAGTCAACCTCACCTCTGCAGGTGTTTGTTGTGTTGCGCGTTCATTGTAACACCTGTCAACACTCCGACATGAGAAGGTCTTAATAAAGTCCGCAAATGTGAGTCCGTGACACCCGAAATGTGATAAAAGTCCGTGAGCGCCGCGTTGAGACGCAGATGTCAAGCTTAGAGTTATCTTAAGTTATCTTATCTTCTTCTCAGTAACTCGTGACATCACAGGATATCCTTGGCTTTATACTAACATGTTACCAAGCAAGGGACCCACACACACCGGCGCTCCTCCAGTCGAGGGCTCACATCATCTCGACGCATCGTAGTGAAGCACGAGTCACCATGATGTCTGTCCGACACGTCGTGGTTGTGTGGTGTCTGGCGTGGGCCGCAGCCTCCGCCACAGATGAAGCAACTGTTGAAGAAATGCGGTCATCGTTGGTGGTGTCGCAGTTGGTCTTGTCCCACCAATCAGAAGTGCTGCAGATGCTGGTTAATGCCACGGGAACAACGCTCCGCCTCTTAATGAAAGGTTTGGTTAAACTTAAGGTATTGTGTACAACTTCTTAACCTCTGTAAATGCAGGAATTTGGGCACATAAGTGTTTAACATACGGTACCAATTACTGTATCCTAACACGAGTCATTAGTCGTGAGATTAATGACTCAGTCGTTAAATTGGTATTTTTTTCCTTATGACATTCTTCAGTTGATGTTTAGTGACTTTAGTGAATATAATTAGTGATCGTGAGCCTAATTTACTCCAAGTAACCTTGGAAGAGTAAACAATAGTCTTACCACGACCTCACAAACATAAGTGTTACAGAGACTTCACAAACAAGTGTTACCACAACCTCACAAACAACAGTGTTACCACAACCTCACAAACAACAGTGTTACCACGACCTCACAAACAAAAGTCTTAAAACTATTGTTTATGACGTGGTGTTAAGACTATTGTTTGATAGTCACAAACACTAGACGAGTGGTTGGTGATATTACAATGAGACTGTAAAGTGTTCCAACTGTCTGTTTGTACCGTCCGGATGTTCAGGCTATTAAGAACGGATTTTTTCATTTTTACAGCTTTCATCGGTTTGAAAGCAAAGAAGAGACATGAAAATAAATTGTGAACAAGTAGAGCAATATATATTGATTTGGATTTTCTACATATAATATGTTCTTTCCTAATTAATAAACATTGATGATATATATACATATATATATATATATATATATATATATATATATATATATATATATATATATATATATATATATATATATATATATATATGTTTCATTGAATATGACCGCATATTCTGTATTTATTATTTTCTGGTTTAGGGCTTCTATCCCTCTAACTATTTTCTTAGCATCAGGGCTTAATTGAAATAGGAGTTCACCAAAACTCATTTTCGTACTTTTAAGGTGAAGAAAAGAAGTGATTTACTATAGAGTGTATTACACTTATTTGTATAATTTGCACGACGTTTCGAACCTCCATGGTTCATTCTCAAGTGAACAGATCTTACAATACTAGTTGATTTTATACCCGCATTAGGTCAGGTGATAATACAATGAAGGTGAAAACATGGGGGGATACATAAGGGATAAACATAGGGGCTGCAGAAGGCTTATTGGCCCATACGAGGCATCTCCTATCTAAACACAAAGATTAATCCAGTGTAATTGGCCTGTTATGTTGGACATTGTCTTCTGTGTTGGCATCGATACGGTTCTTGTCTTGTCCTTACTCTCATGGTGGGTAGAGTAAGGACAAGTAAGGACAAGACAAGAACCGTATCGATGCCAACACAGAAGACAATGTCCAACATAACAGGCCAATTACACTGGATTAATCTTTGTGTTTAGATAGGAGATGCCTCGTATGGGCCAATAAGCCTTCTGCAGCCCCTATGTTTATCCCTTATGTATCCCCCCATGTTTTCACCTTCATTGTATTATCACCTGACCTAATGCGGGTATAAAATCAACTAGTATTGTAAGATCTGTTCACTTGAGAATGAACCATGGAGGTTCGAAACGTCGTGCAAATTATACAAATAAGTGTAATACACTCTATAGTAAATCACTTCTTTTCTTCACCTTAAAAGTACGAAAATGAGTTTTGGTGAACTCCTATTTCAATTAAGCCCTGATGCTAAGAAAATAGTTAGAGGGATAGAAGCCCTAAACCAGAAAATAATAAATACAGAATATGCGGTCATATTCAATGAAACATGTTTGAAAGAAAACCTGCTGCCAGTATACACCAATATATATATATATATATATATATATATATATATATATATATATATATATATATATATATATATATATATATATATATATATATATATATATAACTGAAAACTCACACCCCAGAAGTGACTCGAACCCATACTCCCAGGAGCAACGCAACTGGTATGTACAAGACGCCTTAATCCACTTGACCATCACGACCGGACAAAATGAGGTGATAGCCGAGGCTATTTGAACCACCCCACCGCCGGCACTCGGATAGTAATCTTGGGCATAGCATTTTACCAAATCACCTCATTCTTTGGGGCACACGTGAGGAACACAAATGCGAACAAGCCTGAAAGGTCCCCAGGACAATATGCAACTGAAAACTCACACCCCAGAAGTGACATATATATATATATATATATATATATATATATATATATATATATATATATATATATATATATATATATATATATATATATATATATATGCAAACAAGCCTGAATGGTCCCCAGGACTATATGCGACTGAAAACTCACACCCCAGAAGTGACTCGAACCCATACTGCCAGGAGCAACGCAACTGGTATGTACAGGGACGCCTTAATCCGCTTGACCATCACGACCGGATATAAGGAAGTGATAGCCGAAGCTATTTGAACCACTCCCCCGCCGTCACTCGGATAGTAATCTTGGGCATAGCATTTTATCAAATCACCTCATTCTTTGGGGCACACGTGAGGAACACAAATGCAAACAAGCCTGAATGGTCCCCAGGACTATATGTCGCATATAGTCCTGGGGACCATTCAGGCTTGTTTGCATTTGTGTTCCTCACGTGTGCCCCAAAGAATGAGGTGATTTGATAAAATGCTATGCCCAAGATTACTATCCGAGTGCCGGCGGGGGAGTGGTTCAAATAGCTTCGGCTATCACTTCCTTATATCCGGTCGTGATGGTCAAGCGGATTAAGGCGTCCCTGTACATACCAGTTGCGTTGCTCCTGGCAGTATGGGTTCGAGTCACTTCTGGGGTGTGAGTTTTCAGTCATATATATATATATATATATATATATATATATATATATATATATATATATATATATATATATATATATATATATATATATATATATATATATATATATATGTCGTACTTAGTAGCCAGAATGCACTTCTCAGCCTACTATGCAAGGCCCGATTTGCCTATTAAGCCAAGTTTTCATGAACTCATATATTTTCTCTAATTTTTTTCTTATGAAATGATAAAGCTACCCATTTCATTATGAATGAGGTCGATTTTATTTTATTGGAGTTAAAATTAACGTCGATATATGACCGAACCTAACCAACCCTACCTAACCTAACCTAACCTATCTTTATAGGTTAGGTTTGGTTAGGTAGCATAAAAAGTTAGGTTAGGTTAGGTAGGTTAGGTAGTCGAAAAACAATTATTTCATGAAAACTTGGCTTATTAGGCAAATTGAGCCTTGCATAGTAGGCTGAGAAGTTCGTTCTGGCTACTAGGTACGACATATATATATATATATATATATATACATATATAAGAGAAAGCTGCATGAACGCGCAAGCCATATATCACTTCACGAATGATTTGGCTTCACTTTGTTATTTTCTGTTTACAGAGATATCGTGTCCACCGCCTTACACCAGAGTGCTGGACGAGTGCTTCTTCGTCAGCAAGAAAAAGCTGAGCCACAGTGATGCTCGTACACACTGTCAGGGGATGAGGGGCGACCTGGCCACCCCCAGGAACCCCTACGCCCTGGTCTCTTATGTGTACGACAGAGGAGGTACGCTGCTGTCCACCTCTTGAGTCCTTATCTTGCAAATTGATGCTTATTTATAATATTTTTTAATTATCAAATAATCTCTTTGTTCTTAGAAAATGGGTTGTTGAGTTTGTGGCTGCAAGAAATAGAAACGCAAAACTCAGGTGAAGGTTAGTTTAATAGGCTTGGGACTATTTACTTGGCGACCTTTGAAGGAAATAGTGCTATAGTGATTGCTTTCTTATATAACATAATAATAGCTTTATGCAATGCCAGCGGTAAATGGCTTTCCTTTATTATTTTTTTTTTTTTTTTTTTTTTTTTTTTTGAGATATATACAAGAGTTGTTACATTCTTGTACAGCCACTAGTACGCGTAGCGTTTCGGGCAAGTCCTTAATCCTATGGTCCCTGGAATACGATCCCCTGCCGCGAAGAATCGTTTTTTCATCCAAGTACACATTTTACTGTTGCGTTAAACAGAGGCTACAGTTAAGGAATTGCGCCCAGTAAATCCTCCCCGGCTAGGATACGAACCCATGACATTGCGCTCGCGGAACGCCAGGCGAGTGTCTTACCACTACACCACGGAGACTGCTAAATTATTATTAATAAACATAAACTGACAATGTGTTCTCTAAAGTGTTTTGATATAAAGGCTCTTGTTTCAAGCTCTTATAATTTACGACAAAATGGAAACACACTAACTACACAGTACTCAGCTTTTTAACTCTGGTGTCTCAGAGCTTCAGAATTTGCTGATTAAGCTTTCACTAATATAATATCCTTATAGAGTATTCTTATAATCGCTTTGATATCGTATATAACTTCTAACCGACATTATTACCGACATTTCACTAGAAGGCAATTACAGTATTCTAAGATTTTGACAAGTTAACCATTTAAATAAAGCCAGTATTCAAACCGTACGAAATACAAAATGAATTCCTCGCGGTCTGTTTAGGAGGAAGAGAGGCGGGAAGCCGGTGATGTATTGAGAAAGACTACACAGTGCGGTGTTGCACTGGGAATTGCAACAGACTGCCTGTGCTATCTTTATTCGGTTTTTGAAAACCATATTATGAAAAGTTATTGACATAGTGGTATTACCTGGAGTGGGTTTTGGGAGTTCCTCTAACCGCAAAGCCAAACCAGGGGCCGGGCTTGTCTTGCGCTACTAAAAGGTTAGCTTAGGTTGTGATTTTCTATTCAGCTTTTCAAGGTAAACTCAAATATTCACAATAAATTAGTATGTCACATATGCACTTATTCATAAGCAAGATATTGACTATATGCAAGTGCGAGAACGGGTTGCACATATATCCACTACAACCCGGCTGGTCCAACATTTCCTGCAGGTTCTTCATCGGGTCTAGTCTGCATTTCCTACCATATCATTCGCTCCAATATGTGGCTAATTTCACTGTGCATATTAGGGTACCTGGCTTTTTAGTGTTGTCCTGTATGTTGTATATGATACTTTTTTCTCGTCTCCTTGCTAGAAAATGCATTATAAGAGCTTAGAGACGATCCCAACAGCTTAGGTGCTTAATCGTATTTATATGTACCGTACATGTTCTCTGTATTCCCTCTATTAATTTTAATTATAAATTAATAATTAATTTATTTATTAATCTCTCCTGCTCTGAAGATGGAAGTGCGTATCAAGCAGTACTCAAGGCGGGACAGCACAACTGATTTGAAGAGTAAAAAAAGCATTGAATCCCTAAATTTGAAGGTTCTCATAATCCCCGCTATCATTTGCCTGGTTGGTGACTTACTTGATTTCATATTCTCTTTAGGCGTCGTTAGGTCGTCTGATATCATTATTCCCATTATTACGACAGGGTTGAAAGGGTTGGTTCGGTTTCAACCCTTTTAACCCTGTCGTAGCTCAGTCGATTAAGGCAGTGTCTGGGATGCTCCCGGACGCAGGTTCGAATCCTCGTCACGGCCCTTGTGGATTTGTTCATTATCCTGATCCCTTTCAAGGGCTATATAGTCGTAATGGATTGGCGATTTTCTCCCGATAATTACCTTCCATTACCTTGTATCCAGACTTCTTCTCCAAACTACACTGAGCACTTTTGGTAGTGGAACTTTGCATTTCTTTATAAAAATAGAGCTCCAGGAGCTCTATCGATTGTTTCAAGCGCGGGTTGGACAAGTATATGAGTGGGATTGGGTGGTTATAGATAGGAGCTGCCTTGTATGAGCCAATAGGCTTTCTGCAGTTACCTTTGTTCTTATGTTCTTCTTATGTTCTAGGAGTCAGAACCCGGGATGGTTCTGACTCCTGGATGGGATGCCTGGATGCACAGGCATGTTGCAATTCCTCTTTCAATGTCTGCAATGTTCGTGCTAATACCAGTTCTAGTACAACTCCATCCTTCTAATGGAACGTCTCATTTTGACGTATACTCTACCGAAGGCAAAAAAAAACGTCGTACTAGAAAATGATAGCGACTCGTGAAATAAACATACTGTCCCATTTTCTGTTTTGGGTACCTGTGGTAGGTTAGGATAAGGGCACTTTAGTACGACAGTTTCTTGACGTTGGGAAAACCCTTAGGAAGACGGGTTATATATATTGTACAATCTTTTGGCTATTGTTGTTGTTTAAGATTCAACTACTGGGAACAAAACGTTCCAAGTGGCACGGACTATGGTAAACCCGTAGTAGACTCACCTGGTACTGTATCGGGCCTATAACTTGGTGCTCGATCTTTTGGTATATTACATACACAAAACAAATCTTCTTGTTACGGGCTATTCATGCCCGTGCCACCTCTTGGGTGGCTTAATCTTCATCAATCAATCAATCTTCCTGGACCTTCCACTCTAACGCCGTATTTCCATTTTAACAGTAACATTCGCCTGGCTTGGAGCAACAGACGCAAATTCCGCGGAGTGGCGTTGGTTTGACGGCCGGCTCATCTCGGCGGACTTGTGGATGCGAAAACCCGATATGACTGAACCCAGCGGAAAGGACGATCAAGGGAAGGCTGAAGACTGCTGTGAGATGTGGGCAGACTATCATCCTCCTCTTAACGACGCGGTGTGCAACGACCTAAAGATATTTGTGTGTCAGTTTAATCAAGTGAAATAATGGTCATTTGTGTGACTAGTTCTGTTATTTTTTTGTAGTCCCAAAATTGGCTTAAAAATTGGTTCAGAGTTTAGAATGTAAACATTTCTATTTTGTTTCCAATCAATATTATGTTTAGAGTTAGAGAATAACAACGTAGAGCCCTTTATTTGGGCGTCTACGACTGTGCCGAAACTAGTAACACACTTCCCTGTATATCTGGTATATATATCTGGTATATATATATATATATATATATATATATATATATATATATATATATATATATATATATATATATATAATTTTATTAAATATGACCGAAAAAGTAAGATTAATAATTCTAACACGAATTTTCTCAATCTTTCGTACATTATGCTTCACTGTTGGAGGTAAATCAAAAATCACTTCTCCAAAATTCATTTTTATTTCTAGTCTGACGCGACACGGGCGCGTTTCGTAAAACTTATTACATTTTCAAAGACTTCACAAATACACAACTGATTAGAACTTGCGTTTCCCTGATTTTATATCTACATTTGAGTGAGGTGGGAAGGGTGATGTGGCATTACATTTGAGTGAGGTGGGAAGGATGATGTGGCATTAGAGGATATTAATAGGGTATTAAAAGTATCAACACAAGACAGAACACGAAACAATGGATATTGAATAGAAGTGTTTGTAGAAAGCCTATTGGTCCATATTTCTTGATGCTTCTATATTGGAGCGGAGTCTTGAGGTGGGTAGAATATAGTTGTGCAATAATTGGCTGTTGATTGCTGGTGTTGACTTCTTGATGTGTAGTGCCTCGCAAACGTCAAGCCGCCTGCTATCGCTGTATCTATCGATGATTTCTGTGTTGTTTACTAGGATTTCTCTGGCGATGGTTTGGTTATGGGAAGAGATTATATGTTCCTTAATGGAGCCCTGTTGTTTATGCATCGTTAAACGCCTAGAAAGAGATGTTGTTGTCTTGCCTATATACTGGGTTTTTTTGGAGCTTACAGTCCCCAAGTGGGCATTTGAAGGCATAGACGACGTTAGTCTCTTTTAAAGCGTTCTGTTTCGTGTCTGGAGAGTTTCTCATGAGTAGGCTGGCCGTTTTTCTGGTTTTATAGTAAATCGTCAGTTGTATCCTCTGATTTTTGTCTGTAGAGATAACGTTTCTATTAACAATATCTTTCAGGACCCTTTCCTCTGTTTTATGAGCTGTGGAAAAGAAGTTCCTGTAAAATAGTCTAATAGGGGGTATAGGTGTTGTGTTAGTTGTCTCTTCGGAGGTTGCATGGCTTTTCACTTTCCTTCTTATGATGTCTTCGATGAAACCATTGGAGAAACCGTTATTGACTAGAACCTGCCTTACCCTACAGAGTTCTTCGTCGACTTGCTTCCATTCTGAGCTGTGGCTGAGAGCACGGTCGACGTATGCGTTAACAACACTCCTCTTGTACCTGTCAGGGCAGTCGCTGTTGGCATTTAGGCACATTCCTATGTTTGTTCCTTTGTGTAGACTGCAGTGTGGAAACCTCCGCCCTTTCCATGACTGTTACATCTAGAAAAGGCAGCTTCCCATCCTTTTCCGTCTCGTAAGTGAAACGCAGCACGGAACTCTGCTCAAATGCCTCCTTCAGCTCCTGCAGATGTCTGACATCAGGTACCTGTGTAAAAATGTCGTCAACATACCTGCAGTATATGGCCGGTTTCAAGTTCATGTCGACTAAGACTTTTTGCTCGATGGTACCCATGTAGAAGTTTGCAAACAGGACACCTAGGGGAGAACCCATAGCGACCCCATCTACTTGCTTATACATGTGCCCATCCGGGCTCAAGAAGGGTGCCTCTTTAGTACAAGCTTGGAGTAGTTTCCTCAGAATACTTTCTGGCATGTCAAGAGGAGCACAGGCTGGATATATATATATATATATATATATATATATATATATATATATATATATATATATATATATATATATATATATATAAAAATATATATATATATATATATATATATATATATATATATATGTATATATATATATATATATATATATATATATATATATGTATATATATATATATATATATATATATGTATATATATATGTATATATATATATATATATATATGTATATATAATATATATATATGTATATATATATATATATATATGTATATATATATATATATGCATATATATATATATATATATATATATATATATATATATATATATATATATATATATATATATATATATATGTATATATATATATATGTATATATATATATATATATGTATATATATATATATATATATATATATATGTATATATATATATATATACATATATATATATATATATATATATATATATATATACTCTGCCTTGCACATTTGATGAATATATTCATATACTTCCTTATACACCTCTTGAGGTTGCCTTGAGGTTATCTTGAGTTGATTTCGGGGCTTTAGTGTCCCCGCGGCCCGGTCCTCGACCAGGCCTCCACCCCCAGGAAGCAGCCCGTGACAGCTGACTAACTCCCAGGTACCTATTTACTACTAGGTAACAGGGGGCATAGGGCAAAAGAAACTCTGCCCATCGTTTCTCACCGGCGCCCGGGATCGAACCCGGGACCACAGGATCACGTGCCCAGCGTGCTGTACGCTCGGCCGGCCGGCCCCATATCTTATATATACCAAATCATACCTCATATAAAGGTACAGTATACCCATACATGAGTACTTCCTTGAGCACATGGTATATATGCATATAAATATAAATTACCTTATGTACAGTCGCGGTCAAAAATCTTTTTCCATGGGTAGGAGGGATGGGGTAGTGGAGGGGGGTGTGTGTTAGACATACCTTGAGGTTACCTTGAGGTGCTTCCGGGGCTTAGCGTCCCCGCGGCCCGGTCGTCGACCAGGCCTCCTGGTGGCCGGACTGATCAACCAGGCTGTTGGACGCGGCTACTCGCAGCCTGACGTATGAGTCACAGCCTGGTTGATCAGGTATCCTTTGGAGGTGCTTATCCAGTTCTCTCTTGAACAGTGTGAGGGGTCGGCCAGTTATGCCCCTTATGTGTAGTGGAAGCGTGATGAACAGTCTCGGGCCTCTGATGTTGATAGAGTTCTCTCTCAGAGTACCTGTTGCACCTCTGCTCTTCAACGGGGGTATTCTGCACATCCTGCCATGCCTCCTGGTATGGCATGGCAACACTGCTTTTCGAGGCGCCAAGATGTTTCCAGAATTAGCCGCATTGTTTTTGTTTTATATTGTCGACTAATTTAATATTTGCAATGTATTTGTTGAGAAAAACTGCTTTTTACTGTTAATAATTTTAATGAATGCTATTTGGTATCATAATTCTCTTTTCGTGCCAAACTGGATCATGTGATCAACGACAATCCAGGAAGTGTGTAACACTCCTTATGGCTTCCATTGGCAATAGTAAATAACCACCATATAATGAATGAAAGCCGAAATTTCAGCCCCGCTCCTGTGCCAGGTAAGTCCATCATGGGCTCACCATAGCCCGTGCTACTTGGAACTTTTAGTTTCCAGTAGCTGAATTTTAAAGAACAACAACGAATGCAAGCCCAGGTCGCTTGTGTCATTGATTACGATTGGACCTTCAGACAGATTGTTATTATACTGTTTTATACAACATACTATTGTATGTTGCTATTATACTGTTTTAATAGTATCACCAGTTATATAAGTACTGTTTATTTTCATTATGCATGCCTAGTAGTTACATACCAATATGATTTTTTGTTTTGTTTTTGTTTTACTGTGAATGTCCTTATTTGTGTTTAACATTATGCTGCTTTATTGGCTAATAAAAAGGGCAAATAGCATCTGAATCTTTATTAGCTATAGAGGAGGGAAGTGCGCATGAGAGAAAGAGACAAATAGAAGCAGTAAGTTATATGATTAGATATTAAATGAAAAAAAAAAAGATTGTTTTAAAATGTGTGATACGGTTATAATAGCTGCATATTTTTAATTTATTATTTGGTAAATACTCATTTCGTTTCTAAAATTTCATTTCTAAACCAAATCTAGTAATTACCTAAGTGTAGTTACAGGATGAGAGCTACACTCATGGTGTCCCGTCTTCCCAGTACTCTTTGTCGTGTAACGCTTTGAAGCTACTGACGGCTTTGGTCTCGCCACCTTCTTAATTAATTTGTTCCAACCGTCTGCCATTCTTTTTTGCGAAATTGAATTTTCGTAGATTTCTTAGATATCTTATTTTTTTTAGTTAGCTTAAACCTATTATCTCTTGTTCTTGAAGTTGCAGATCTCAGAAATTCTTCCTTGTCATTTTTGTCGATTCCCGTGACTTTTATACGTAGTGATCATATCGCCTCTTTTTTTCTTCAATCTTCTAGTTTTGGCATATTTAATGGCTCTGGCCTCACCTCGTGGCTCTTGTCTTTCAGTATTACACACTTCTCCTCACTTACCAAGTAGACCAACGTGTTAGCAAGTTATCCTCGTGGCGAACTGAGCAATCCTGTACCTTTGGGAAGAATTATTAGTTGTAATTAGCGCAGATAGGATTAGTGTAAAACTTCCTGGAATGTTGAATTCTTAGGGAAAAGTTATGTGGAATTAACAGGCATCTAATTGCCTGTCATAAAACTTCTGAGATTTGGAGCAATTCTATTTCTCTTAATCTAATTGCTTCATTATTTAATTGCAAGGCTTTGCACCTTTTCTGTTGATGTGCTTCTTAAGACATGAGCCTCTTACAACCGCTGCATATTCCAACTTTGGTCTCACAAAGGTCGTGAACAATGGCTTTAGTATTTCACCATGCATGTGTTGAAAAGCACTTCTGAAATAAGAAAGTGTAGTATAGGTTCCTCGCACTAAGTTCTTAAGTGGTCTTTGGATGATATTTATATATATTTAGTACCACTCCTAAATCTCTTTCTTTGTCAGAATTTTGTAAAGCTTTTTCCCAATATTTTGTAGGTTGGGTGTGGCCTATTTTCTCCTATTTCACATTCCATAACGTGGTATTTATTCACCTTGAATTACATTTGCTAAATTGTGCTCTGTGCACTTATTTTATTCAGGTCTTCTTCAAAGGCATGGCAATCGTCTAAGTTTCTTATCTTCTCCAGTATCTTCACATCATCAGCAAACTTGTTCATTTATAACACCATATTCCTTCCGCTAAGTTGTTTGTAGACAATAAACATTACCGGTGCAAGAACTGGACCCTGTGGT